CATACAAAGCAACAAAGAAATCATCTTATAAATGTGTTAGAAACAATGGCATGAAAGAAAAAAACATTTGAATACATATCTTAGAGTTCATTTGATTTCATTTTTCTATTTGGAAGTTTTTATGGCTAAAGGAAGCCCTGGGGACTTGAGCTCTCCACATCTGGACCACTGTCACGCATGCTGTCACGCACACCGGCGTGTGCTTTCTGTCCGCTGACATGCTGTGAGGCACTGGGACTTTTTTTAGTTGTGTACAGGAACTGTCATAGGAACATTGCTGGGCTCTTGTTTGTTTTTAATTTTTGTCGGATATGTTTGCTCAGACCAATGTAGCTAAATACATTTTCAGTTTAACTATTACACATTCATTGTTTTGTACTAAGTCTTTAAAATTGAGTGTATGTTTTATGCTTAGAGGAGACTTCATTGTAATTGTGGTCAGCCTATAGTTCAGGTGCTCGCTGCCTACCTGTGGCCACGGTTACTGTACTGGACAGTGTTAGCGCTGGTGGTTGCTTAATGACATAGATCTTGGAGGCAGATGGATGTGAGTCTGTGCTTCGATCTGTTATTAACTACATGTCTCTTTGCTTCAGTTTCTGCATCTCTAAAATGGAGCTGATGTGAAGTTCAAATGTAAAGCTCTCAGCGTAGTGTAGATCACTCTGTGTGTGTGTGTGTGCACGCGCATGCGTGCATGCATACATGCTTGTGCATGTGTTGCTGCTGGGGCTTGAACTCAGGGCCTGAGCATTGTCCTTTAGGGGTCCAAAGCTGGCATCCTACTACTTGAACCAGAGCTCCACTTCTACATTTTTGCTGGTTAATCAGAAATGATTTTTTTTTTTTTTTTGCCAGTCCTGGGGCTTGAACTCAAGGCCTGAGTGCTATTCCTGAGCCTCTTTGTGCTCAAAGTTAGCACTCTATCATTTGAGCCAGGGCTCCACCGCTGGCTTTTTCTGAGTAGCTTATTGGAGATAAGAGTCTCATGAACTTTCCTTCCTGGACTAGCTTTATGCCGTGATCCTCAGATCTTAGCCTCCTGAGTAGTTAGGATTATAGGTGTGAGCCACTGGCCTCTGAGTAGAAATGAGTTTCATGGACTTTCTGTTGGAGCTACCTTTGACTCTTGATTCTCAGATCTCAGCCTCCTGAGTAGCTAAGAGCTAGTAGCTTATAGTCATAGACCATTATCTTGCAACAGCTTTTGGGAAAATGGAGTTGCCCACATGGGTCATAATTGCATCTTCCTGGCATATAGAACAAACAGTATAGTGCAAGTTTGCTTGGCACGGTGTGGGGCCTTATGAAATGATTATGTTTCGGATGTGGAAGGATCTTGCGGCTCTTTTGCAGAGCGCTAAGCCATGGAACCTAGCTGAAATCTCTGTGCCTTCCATTTCTTGAAAGGGGGTGGGCAAAGGGGGCGGGCGTGGAGGGGGGGAAATGGGAGGTGTGACTGGGCTGCTAGGAGTGAGATCTACTTTCCCTGAGGAAGGTTGAGACATTTGTTTTGACTGGCCTCCTAAATAACCTCTCTACCCAGAGAGCCTCAGTTAATTGAGGAATCCTAATGATCACAATAATTAGTCTCATTAGTCATACAGCAAATGTCAAGGCTCTTTCTTGGAGTATTGCTTCTATTCACTTTTGCTTCCCAGAACTGGGGAGAAGGAGAAGCAGAGAGGTGGCCGTGCTGGGAGCCGAGGGGCACCCAGGTCTCTGGCCCTGCACATGAGTGATCACTGCAGCACAAACTGAGGTTCTTCCGGAAGTGACTCATGTGACAAATGAAACCTAGGACCAAGGTGCCAGTTAAACAGGAACTAGGTATGGCATACTTGTAAACCCCAGTGCTTGGAGGCTGACGCAGGAGAATCCCAAGTTCAAGACCAGCCTGGACAACTTGAGTGACCACCCTATCCCCAAACTGAAAAGGCTGGCGAGGTAGCTAGGTGGTGTCATGCTTGCCTGGGATGCATTAGGCACTGGCTTCAGGTCTGGCACTGCAAAAACAATAAAAAAAACCTCCAGTTAAATAGAAAAGCCTTGCATGTTGTCTGAGCTCTGTTACATTTAGCTGCACGTTTGTCACTGTGAACTCCCCTCTGGTCTCAGAAGGTAGCTGCAGTCAAAGGAGGAGAATTGTACCTTGGAGAGAAGTTGTTTTGTAATGCTAGGAACATTACTGTAGCTAAAAATGAGGTTCAAATTCTGAATGCCCTCTTTTCCTAAATTAATTTCAGTGGAACTGTAAACATTTATTTTCTCAGTAATGAATGGCTCCAGGAGAAATATGTGACATACATTACATGGCTCGGCCAGAAGCCATTACTGGGGGAATAATAAGAAATGCTAGGGAGGGGGGTAGAGGGGGTGTTGGGGGAGATGGGAAGGGATGGGAAGGGGAAACAAAGGAGGAGGCAACAATGCTTGATAAGAAATGTATTCATTACCTTGCCCATGTATTTATAACCCCTCTGTACAGTATTTTCACAATAAAAAATTTAAAAATGCTAGCCAGAAGCTGAGCACCTGTGGCTCACGCCTATAATCCTAGCTACTCAGGAAGCTGAGATCTGAGGATCACGGTACAAAGTCAACTCGGGCAGGAAAGTCCATGAGACTCTTATCTCCAATAAACACTGGAAAACTGGAAGTGGCGCTATGGCTCAAGTGGTAGAGTGCTCGCCTTGAGCTGAAGAGCTGAGGGACAGCACCCAGGCCCAAAGTTCAGGCCCCACAACCGACAAAAAAAAAAAAAGAAAGGTCATCTGGTAGTAGAAGAGGTCCTCTGGTTGCCACCAGGTGACTATTTTAGGAAATTTGATTCAGTATAACTGAATGAAGTCCATGGACAATTATTGCAAGTGGAGGTTTGCCATACTCAAGGCACAGTGTCAAGACTGCCAGTGTAAATGTCAAATATTTACTTAAAGATTGAACTTTAGTCAGCCTCTGTAACAAAAGCCTTGCGCTCCCACTGATGTTTGAAGTGATTCAAGGTGTGCGGTTTACTTTTCTTCTACTTCTCCATTTTCTGTGAATGGTTGGCTCTGAATGAACCAAATGACCTCAGAGATTTGTTTCTTTGACATTCCCCCACATTAGCCCAGGGAGCCTCTCCTTTTATTTATTCATAGGACTTGGATGACAGATGAAGCCTTAAGTACAGGCCTTTGACTTATGCGTCTTCACCCTCCCCAGGTGACTTGCTGGGAGGGGTGAGGAGAGAAGGAGAGGAGAAGGGGGGGGGCCTTAGTTATGGAGTAGCAGCTCAGTGTATGACCTCTGACTGACAGAACTCAATTCCTCTGAGTGCTCTCTTCTCATCAGAAGGGCTCTGACAAGGCTGCTTTGGAGAAACATCTGCATGCTGATGAGAGAGACTGTAAACCACTTGATAAAGACTTCCAGTTTCCTCACTGTCAGACCCCGAGTTTTGCCTGAGGTTGGAAGATGACTGTCTCTTAGGGGTGGGGTTTCCGTGCACTCAGAATATCTAACGTGGTATCTTGGAGATCTGCACAGCAGGGCACACTACCCAGGGTGTCAGAGGCCTCTGTTCCATTTTCCAGATAGAATTGAGCCCTGGAGTTTAAATCATGGGCAGGACCACTGCGCCAGGTGACAGAAGGAAACCCATGCTAAGTGGAACATTGTGATTTTATTAAGTCATTTTCCTATTTTATGGATATTTTTCACGTTTTACCTTGCCCAGCTTTTTAATCTTGAAACAAGGCTTTGGTTAGGATGTTGGGTTTTGTGTTTTTTTTCTTTTTTTTAATTTTAATTTTTGTCAGTCCTGGGGCTTGAATTCAGGGCCTGGGTGCTGCCCCTGAGCCTCTTTGTGATCAAGGCTAGCACTCTTCCACTTGAGCCAAACTGCCACTTGCAGCTCTTTCTGAGTAGTTTATTGGAGATGAGAGTCTTACAGATTTCCTGCCTGAGCTGGTTTCAAACCACGATCCTCAGATCTCAGCCTCATGAGTAGCTAGGATTATTGGCATGAGCCACTGGCACCTGGCTGAATGTTGGTTTTTATGGTGTCCTTGGGTCTGTGCTGCCAGGTGGATGTCCTTTGTGGGTGATGACAGCAATAGGAATAGAAGCAGCATTGTAAAGGCTGTGGTGCCAGACACTGGTGGCTCACACCTGTAATCCTAGCTACTCCTCAGGAGGCTGGGATCTGAGGACTGATGTTTGAAGCCAGCCTGTGTGGACTAACGTGAGAGACCCTTATCTCCAATTAACTAGCAAAAAGGTTGTTATTGCAAGCATGGCTCAAGTGGTAGAATGCCTGCTTTGAGCGAAAAAGCCAAGCCAGGAGTGTGAGCCTTGGAGTTCAGGTCCCAGGACTGGGAAGTCCTGTGGTGGCCAGGTGCCGGGCGGGCCAGCATGCTGAATGGTGATGATTGGTTCATCCAGGCCCTGCACAGTAGTGGCAGACTTGACCTTCAGTGCCAGGGCCCTTGTTCTCACCCAGGGACTGGTGGTGAGCCAGTTGGAGGCTTGTGGACTAGAGGGATGAGCACTGGCTGGTGGAGGCTCAGCAAGGAAGCCTGGCCAATGCTGAAAGGTATGATTTCCACTTTCTTGTCTCTTCCTCCAGAGACCCCAGGCCAAGCAATCAGCGCATCAACAAGCATGTCAACAACGACGTGAACCTCCGCATCCAGAACCTGACCATCCTGGTGAGAAACATTAAGACCTACTACCAGGTAAGGCTGTTCTGCCGGTCCCTGGATTTTGGTTGTGTGTCTAGTATAGCCGCTCGGTGTGGTTTCCTGCAGGAAGCTGATCCTCGGTGCTTTGGCCTGCACTTTTGGGTGGGGCGTCATGTAAGGATGAGTTCTTGTGTGGTGCACAGGTTCAGGCCCCACGCTGTGAGGTCCTGGAGGGCCTTGGTTTGCAGTGGGACTGGCTGAAAGGGGCTTCCTGTCCCTGCTGGTGTCTCAGTGCTCCTTGTACAGGAGCCCCTCGAGGGGTGAGGGAGCGAAGGGGTGCACAGCGTCTCGGAGCAGAACCCGCTTGCCTCTGGGTTGCCAGGAGTAGCCCTGGGCTCTGCGAGTGGTGAATCTTTTCTTTTTCTTTTTTTTTTGTCGGTCGTGGGGCTTGAACTCTGAGACTGGGTGCTGTCCCTGAGCTCTTCAGCTCAAGGCTAGTGTTCTACCAATTGAGCCCTGGCGCCACTTCCAGTTTTCTGGTGGTTTATTGGAGATAAGAGTCTCACGCACGTTCCTGCCCAGGCTGGCTTTGAATGGCGATCTTCAGCTCTCAGCCTCCTGAGTAGCTAGGATGACAGGTGTGAGCCACCGGTGCCCGGCCAGGTGGTGAATCTTTACTCCATGTGTTGACTGGCGTTGATCAGTGGATGTGCAGGGCTCAGGCCTGGGGGACAGGCTGGTCCAAAACCCCATCCACGCCGGCCCGTGGAAGGCCGGCTGAGAGACGGCAGGCGTGCGTGATCTCTGTATGGCAGCATGGGGCTCTGTGTGCCTCAGAGCCCTGGTTTTCAAAATTTTTTTTATTATTAGCAGTGAAACATGTCCCCTTATTCCATTCTTCTTGAGACCTCGGGTGCGGCTGTAGTCACGGACCGGCTTGTGGCCTCCCCTGCCTCCAGGAACGTGGTTTGCGAACCACTGCTAAAGAACACGAGCTTCGGGCTGGGAAGGTGGCTCAGTGGTAGAGCGCTTGCCTTGCATGCATGAGGCCCTCGGTTCGATTCCTTAGCACCACATAAGCAAAAAGAAAAAAAGGCGAAAGTGGTGCTGTGGCTCAAGTGGTAGAGCATTAGCCTTGAGCTGAAGAGCTGGGGGACAGCATCCAGGCCCATGACCAGACCCCCCCCCAAAAACAAAACAACAACAACAACAAAAAAAACATGCTTCCTGGATTTCTGTTGGAATTTTACCAGCTCCAAGTCTTGTTTGTAAGATTCACCTGCCTGAGCTAAATGGAGACCTGCCCGGGGGTGGGATTTGGGGAGCCTCAGACTCCCGAGACACCGGCCCTGGTTCCTGACCACTGGGGTGACTGCCAGGCAGAGGAACCCAGGTGCTTCAGTGCTCATTGCCCCCCCCCCCCCCATCCTGCCCAGATCTACCCAAGCTTCTCTTTCAGCTGGGATTAGCAGCGGCATGAGAAAGGGAGGGAGTGGGCAGTGTCCTGGGTGCTCTACGATGCTTGTGTCCATTCTCCCCTCACTGGGGCCGGTTAGTGCTGTGGACACAGCTCCCTGGCTGGCTGTGAGGCTCTGAGCAGCCTCAGGGCTGAGGTACAGATGTTTGGAGAGGGGTTGAAGGTGAGGTTCCAGGCGAGGCCTGGGAGCTACCAGAGTTGGCTGTGAGTCCCACGAAGGTTTATTTCCTTGTGTGATGGGAGCTGCATGCTGGGCTGGGGTGCTGTAGGGAGAGGCATTTCGGGAAGTGCCTCCTTGAGACCACGGCAGAAGCTCCCCCCCCCCCAGACGCGGGCATCTGCGATGTGTGATGTGTCAAGTGTCATGTGTCTTGTGTCCTGTGGGCTGCACAGATGGGCCCACCACATGCACGGGCCTTGCCTGCAGGTGCTGTTCGTGGCAGGGGTGCTCAGGATTCAGGAGAGGAGGCCCCTGATTTGTCCTCAGGGTGGACTTTGGTGGGCGACTGGAGTGTCCAAGTTTGCGGGGTCACTGGAGGGGGCAGGGTCTGGGTGGAGCCAGGCATGGTGGCCTCGGAGCTCCGCCCCTGTCTGCCTCCCCTCAGTGTTTTCCACAGTTGCTGGGATGAAGTCCATTTATCGTATTTCAAGAAGTGACCGAGGATGCAGCTGGCAGGATGTGAGCACAGAGAGACCAGGTCAGGGTTCAGCGCAGTTCTCCAAGGCTGGCCTGGGCCTGTCACAGCACACACAGGTCCGTCTCCTTGCAGGGATGCTGGGGGGCCGTGCCTTCCCTCCACGGGTGGCGAAGCATCAGTGATGCTCCCACAGGTCTTCGTGGGCACTGTGCAGCCGTCGGGCTCCCACTCAGGCAGGGAAGAGGCTGGCCTAGGGTGCAGCTGGCCCACGGGGCCTCGGGCGTCGAGGGTCAGCCTTGAAGGTCTGGGTCTGTGCCAGGCTTTCGGACTCGGCACCATCCATTCTAGAGGCAGTGTGCCGCTCTTCGGGTGTAGAGTTCCAGAAGATGGGAAGTGCTCACAGGGGAATTGCTGGCTAGTCAGACTCAGGCCAGGAGGACGTGGAGGTGGGGGAGGGGACCCTGCACCTTGTGCACCCCACTCCGCCCTCCTAGCGTGGACAGCCTCAGGCCCAGCTCAGCAAAGGGCGGCTAGACGCAGGGAGCCCTGCCGCCGCCACCGCTGGTCCTCACTGCCTCCCAGTCCTCCTCGTCTTCTCGAGAGAGCTGGTGAGAGCCGAGCATTCGGGCCAACATGTTACTCGTGTGCCACATTGTGCTGAATGCATGTTTTTTCCTGGCTTCTGGCAAACCAAAGTTCAGTTCTCATGATAGATGTAATACGTGCCCTTGACAAGCCGCTGGGGAAACAAGTGGCGAGAAAGCGGAAGCACCCCGCGAGCCCACCCCAGAGACAATCGCCCTTCGGCGTGTAGCGTTTCCTCTGGGTTCCGCAGTGAATAGGTTTTGTTCTGGCCGCGGGCGGCCCGTGCACAATGGCACATCCTGCCTCTTCCCTTCCACCCGGCCGCTGGCTCGGCCCTGCTTCGTGTTATGAGAGGCATCTGCAGGCGTTTTCCCAGAGAACCATTGCAGAACGCAGCCCTGGAAGGTGGGATGAGGGCACACACACAGCCGTCACAACGGCAGCACACACCTGCTCTCCCTGTCCAAGAGGATCGTGAGTTCAAAGTCAGCCTGCGCTTCATAGCCAGACCCTGTCTCAAAACGTTGAACAAAGTTGTTCCTAATTCTGAGTGGGGGAGAGGTCACCTCCAGTGAGTGGATTCCCTTGGGAGGGCTTTTTGGCAGAGACTACAAGTTGGCGCTGTCTGACCCTGGGTGTCATCCACCAGGAGACCATTCTGCTCCCCACTGACCCCTCCACTTCTGGGGCACAGGCACCCTGGGGCTTTTGAAGGAGTCGAGCTTATTTTTCATGGGAAAGCTCAAGCTGGGACAGAGAGGCTGGGATTGTGTCCGACCCCTCAGTGGGCAGCTCTGTTCTCCATCTTCTTCACCTGCTACGCTTTTGGGGTGGGAGCCTTAGGAGTCTGTATTTTTCACAAGCTTCCCAGCTGTGTAGTCAGGGGTGGAGGGGTCTGCGTGCTCACAGGGACTGACCCTCCCGTCAGCCACGTGTCCACGGTTTCCTGGACAGGAAGGCAAGGTCTTGGCAGACACTCGAGAGACTTAAGATGCAGTGACAGGAGGTGACCCCAGTTGGACAGGGTCTTGGAGAGAGTATCTGGACTTGTCTCTGTGGGTTTTTTTGTTTGTTTGTTTGTTTTTGTCAGTTTTGGGGCTTGAACTCAGGGGCACTGTCCCTGAACTCTTTCTGCTCAAAGCTAGTGCTTTACCAGTTTTAGCCCCAGCTCTACTTCTGGTTTTGGGGTGGTTAATTGTTTTGATAGACAGTTGGCGAGACCGAGGAAGACCAGCTGGAGGAAAAGCTAGGGTGACACTAGACGCCCACCGCCCGGCCCCGTCTGTCATACAATGCTGTTTACGCCTTTTCTTTCCCCTCGACTTTAAACTAAACTGTGTGCTCACATGCACAGGTACTAGGGCTTGAACTCAGGGCCTGGGTGCTTTCCCTAAGCTTTTTTACTCTACCACTTGAGCCTCAGCTCCACATCCAGCATTTTGGCGGATAAGTAGAAATGAGAGTCTCACAGACTTTCCTGCCTGGGCTGGCTTTGAACCCCAATCCTCAATCCCAGCCCCTTGAGTAGCTAGGATGACAGGTATGAGCCACCAGCGCCTGACTTAAATTTTGGATTTCTATATGGGTCATTTTGTTTCACTCAGAGCCTTGAATATTTACATTAGATGTATACTCACTTCAGAGCAGAAATCCACCCTGTGAGCCAAGTTGTGTGTGTGTGTGTATTCTTTGGAAGTGGTTTGTGGGCACCCTGCCTGCTTGGTCCTGGGCACCGGGACCCTTGCACTTACCTTGTCATTGATTTGGTGGCATCTAGTTCACATTTATATTCTTGCTGTATAGATGTGTATGCATGTGTGTGTTTGGGTGTGCACTTACATTATGTTTACACATATACATAGTGTTTTGTGTGACTTTTTGGGGGAGAGAAGCAAAGGCCTTAGACACGCTAGGCAAGCATCCTACCACTGAGCAACGCCCTGACCCTGCTGGTCTTCGAGCCATACTTCCATACATGGTGGCATGCTGCTGGTACCTTTCCTCCACTCTGCCTCAGTTTGCCTTCTGTGGTAGTCATAATAGATAAGCATGGGCCGGCCAGGACAAATGAGAATTATCTTGAGAAATATGCGCACACATACACACACTCCGTTTGAAGAATGGAAAGTGTTTGTCAAGAGTGAGAATAGAAGGAAATGCACTTTTGGCACTGCTGATGGAAGCATCCTGTGGGACTGGAGGGGTAGGCTGTACGGTAGTGTGTGTGTGTCTGTGGGCTGCTTGGAGGGGTACGGCCTTGTGCAGGGGAGCCAAGAGGCAGGGCCCCAGGTGCAGGCAGAACTGCTACACAGCCACGTTGTGCAGAATTTGCTGCTGAAAATTTCCTGCCCACT